AAAGAGGCAACTTACTGGTGGGAAACTGTTGCTGACACATTGCCCAAACTGGAAGGGGGCACTGGTGAGGCTTTCTGAGATGCACTTAGCTCCCACTAAGCTGATTAGTGCAGAAAACAGCTAGCTGACATCGTTCTCATTTGCATAAGTACTTTGATATCCACTTGTGGGGTCAGTTGAGGCTGTCACAACTGACCTGAAGCTGCCTACACTGTTGCATATCTCTTTATATTAAGGCCTCTAGAGTGCTATATCATCTCAGAGCTGAAGAGCTATATAACTTTTAGTTCAACAGTTGAGTAACAAAATGACAAGAGCTGACGAAGAAGGGAATAGACAATACTACGTATTTCCATTCTAAGTAAACATTGCGTACGCAGGTGTGTTTTCAATTGATGAAATCTCTCTGAATGGCTAAGGTGAAAGCGTTCAGGGCGAAATGCATTGACGAAAAAGTAGTAGCGCACTTACGGAGTAGAAAAGTGCTTTTACCTACCTTATATGGGATAGCGTGAGCACAATAGCGTAAGAGCATTTAAACTAGAAGTTGCTTGGGCAAAAATACCGTACTAACCCTCGCAGCGTTGGACGATTGAGGCTTCTCGAGCAAATTCCACGCCTTCATTCTCAGTTTGGCACAGTATCCGTCCCCAAAGCGCTCCGTCGTATGTTCGTTTAGCATAAACTCGCAATCCTTTCTCATCTCTTCCTGAATGGAATCTTTCAACTGATAGAAGCGCTGCTGGCAGCACATTTCCAAAAAAGCTTCGTCAACGCCCCAGTAATCCAATTCCGTCGTGAAAGCAAGAACACATATGTCCTAAAATTACATTCCATCACATAAGTTTGAAATTGATCCCGAAAGCAGTTTTTCTGGTGCAGCAGAGACTTTGTTGAGTAGTTTCTCAACCTTTTTCGCACCAGAGCTTCCCTGACCTTCTCCAGTGTCCCTGTGGACATTGCTAGCACCTTATGGTCGTGGGGGCGGTTTCACTTGGTTGGTGTTGGAGAGCCCAAAGCGCTGATTCAACCATGAGCACTTTCTATTTCAGGCTTTTTGGCGCCAACTGAGCTTGAACCTACCAAAGTCATACATCTACGCTTCAGCGCTAACCCTCAGGTTTCCCAGCGTGCCCTGGGGTCTGTAGCTGCTTTAGTGCATGTATACTTTGGCTGTGTGCGTTCACAATTGGAAAAAATACTCCTTATTAATACATAAATGATCTGTGCCTTTTTGCTCTGTTGGTTTACATTAGAAATCCGCCTGCAAGCGCGAGCAACTATTAAATACTATTTCGACAATTCCATGCACGCAACGTAAATATCAAGAAGCGTTTTGAGGTCGCATCCCCTATTTGCATTGTTGTTTTGCGTACTTGGATCTGTCTCGAAATTGCAAGTGGCCAAATGGCGCAATCCCGAAGATATTTGACAAAACGTCAAATACGTGTTAAAATATACGAACAGCTGACTACTGACAACTTTGATATGTTTCAGATTGCTCATACTGAATTTAGCCGGACCCGACATTTCGTAGTAAATCTTCAGCATAACTCTTCTCTGAGCAATTCAGCAGAAGCGCGCGTACGTCACGAGGGTCGCACCTTATTTCCGCTGAGCAAGGCAACATAGCAACACTAGGCGCAATGGTGAATTATGTTAGTAGCATATGCTTAGCTCAGACAGTACAACTGATATTCGCCAGTCAAAAATACGTAAACGCCAGCGGACTCCCAACTTTAAAATATTCGCCTCTGTGGCGTGGGTGAAAATCCAATTTCAGGCAGTCGAGCGGGGCTCTCGAATCTAAAAGTTCATTTGAATATTGACATGCATATTTATAAAAGCTGCTCATAGGACTTTTTAAAAATATCCGCTGCTGGTGGGCAACTGATTGCTTTACTTGAGGAAGAGAACTAAGCGCAGCTGCACCTTTTTAAGCGCTCCGTTAGGATGCGGCAGAATCGATGCTATAGAGAGCGTCCAAAATGGAAACACTTCATTAAAATGCTAATTTTAGAATTTGAATGATGTCCCTTAGGCTTGCTGAAAACTTTTGCTCATAACCTAAATAAATAGGCATCGCTGCTAGGGCACTTTAGCATGATATAGTGGGGCTATTCATCACACAGTGTGAGAGCGAGAGATCTAAATCTGCTGCTATTGACTAGAGAAGGAAAAGTTGAAGCGGATACCCACTTTCCAGCTTTTACAACTTTACAACTTCCAAAGGAAGCGCAGTATGTTGGTTATGGAGGTGAAAATTTTTGTTTATGCAAATTATTAGGAGGATAGTCTTTGTGATGTACTTGCCAGCTGCTTAGCTACAATTGCGGCTGTTTTGAGAGGCAACGGCAACAGCTGGCGCCGAATGTTCAACAACGAAGTCTCCACCAAGCTTGTTTGCAATGAACAGTAACCTTTCAGTCACTTTGTTTATGAATTACGTCATTTCATTCAGTGGAGCTTTGTGGCTACCGCTGTGAGCTGCATGAATGAAAATCATTCCCTTTGTGAGTAATATCAAATTATTATTAATATTAACATACTGATAGGCTGAACAGCGAAAATATAGCCTAATAGGGAAGTTAGCGCTCTTCCGTCACTTAGTTGTTAAGAAGCGATAGATAGACAACGAAATCGATTGTATGCACCCAAATGCCAATGGAACGTTTAAATCGGTACTGGAAGTTGCTTGAGATCTGCTGCTGCGTTTTCTGTCACCCTCGTAGAAGCGAACAGTGAGAGCAGTTCCTTTCCAGCTGAAATAGGAGAAACGAAATTGGCCAAAACGGGGAGGACTCTTGCGGAATGAATTATGTGATTTTGTTCGCAACAGCATCAATCATTCAGCCTAATAACAATTGCTTCAGAATATACTGGCGCTCTCATCAACAGAGTCAGTGTTTGACAGAATATCACGGCGCCCCGTACATTATGAATCCAACACATGTTAGCCACCTTACGATGTTGTTATTGAGCGAAGAAAATTTGTAATGCATCTTTCGAACAGCGCAACTAATATCCGTACATGTAGTCTTTAAGAGACTTAGCCTATTATGACAAAATGACGATTTTGGGAGGAAGAAGCTTTTTGCATATTATTAATATATTTTACGTTAGCCTTATAAGCCGAGCCTTTGCAGACTTTTACGCTCCGCTGTTGTAAACAAGCCAAAAGGTACTACGAGAAATTGGAACAATGATTTATTAAGCGGGAGGAGCTTTCGCGGTGCGGAAGCATCGGCTGTTCATATTCGTTGTCTTGGCTTTGGAAAGTTGCCCAAAAGACAAGTCTTCTTCAACCTTCATTGGATTCGGTTTTTTTTAGGTAAGACTTGAGAACTGCTTGATGTCATGACATTTAAAAGCGGACAAAATGTCACGGCAGTTGTCACTTTTTTACCTATGCGGGAATTCAGACGATTCACTTTGACTGGCCCGTGGCTCTCTCAGCAAACGAGATTGAATTGATTGCTCGGCTTAAAGAATGAATGTTGGTTCAAGTTCGTAGCAAAGCTGCACAATGATGACCAAGCGCCATCGCTAAGAGCGCGCGAAACGTCCAGCCAAAGGGCAGAGAAGCAGTAGTGTCGCTGCCCCACGATTTTGATACGTTCAGGCGTAGAGCAGCTCGTTCCAGACTGAAGTGGAAATACATAGGAAATGAACCTTGCGAATCCCTTGCAGAAAAAAGCAACTAGCACGCTGTACTGCACTTCATTTAAAAGTTAAGTCTTGCAAACTCGTCTCGCTGAAACGCCGCTTTTTGGCTTCGAAATCAATTAGACACAGCAAACTGTACACGCTATTATGCTTATGCAAATTAACTACGGTATGTCAAACAGACTTGTAAATGCTTTGCCTAAAGTGGGCATTAAACGTACGCCTGCAGCCGTGTTTAATACGAGATGATCCGCTGACAATTCTTCAAGCCTAAGGAAAAAGGTCCCATCGGTAAACAAAAGCAGCTTGCGCAAATATGCAAATCACCACTACCGTATGGCGCAAAAAATATGCATATTTTTTGCAAAGCAGAGGGAGAGAGCGCGCGCGGAAAGGGAGAAGGGCGCTTATTGCCCGCCTGTGGTTTTTGAAACCAAAGGAACAAATCTTGGATAAGCTGTCCGAATTGTAAAATAGGCGGCGGGAAGCGGAATAGCGTTGCTTAGTTGATTTGATACTATTTGGAATGGACGGCACGTGGC